TCCATGTCATTCCTTCTCTGCTTACTCCGTCCACACCTTTGGGAATCCCTGGACCCGCTGGGGCTGGACCCCAGCATTTTGGTGCAGAACAGGATTCCCCTATGTAATCTCCCCACACACACACCGCACTCAGGACAGATAGGACTCCACCATAGGGTGCTGCAGACCCCCCTATAGAGGATAAGTAGGGTAAGTGGGTGGATAGTACAGAACTTATATTGAGAAGGTGTGCCATACTGAGTCTAAGAAAGAAGACTCTGTATTGATCTTTAGAATGAGAAGATGTGCCATACTGAGTCCAAAGAAAGAAGACTCTGTATAGATCTTTAGATTGAGAAGGTGTGCCATACTGAGTCTAGAAGAAAAAAGACTCTGTATTGATCTTTTAACACATATGCTTGCTAGCAGAGGAGTTAAGGTTACGCCCAGTTAGACAGAGTGTTTTATACAAGAAGTGTGTCCATGCTTTTCTGAGGAAGGAAAGGTGCCTCAAGGGGAGCAGAAAGAAAAGAAAAAATGGGAGGAATGGCCTTCATGGCTCCCTCCACCTCCATGTCCTAATCCTGAAATGTTTAATTCTCTGTTAATAGAATCACCTGTGCAAAAACGCCAAATTATAAAGAAATTGGAATATTAAAAGGTACTCTTTTAAATCAAGCTGAAAAAAGAGTGCCATGGTCATCTTAATGTGGTTTCTTGTCCAAATTAAAATCTTAATTTGTATTTGGAATCTAAAATCTATAATAAGAAATGAAACCCCGCTACCGAATCCGCCTCTGGTGTGGAGAGATTCAAAGGTGGCAAGAGAGAGCAGAGCTGTAAGCTCTCCCACAATGAGATTACTTAATGTTTTATTTAAAAATTACCGGAGAACATCTTATGACAACCAAACTTTGGCTAAGATTACCTTGGGTGCTAGCCATGACTTTAGAAAGCGAAATAGGAAAAAATTTAAAATGTCTTTTTCTATTAAGCATGACTTTGGGGAAAATACGCCATCTGAGTCATTTGCTGAAACTTCCCCCAAAGCAGGATATGGAGGAAGGGGATAGTCACCTCCTGCCTGTAGCAAAATCTTAAAGAATGTGGTCAATTTACATCTGAAAAGACCAGGTAGGCCAGAATCTATTTTGCAAGGATCAAATGTGGTTTTCCAGAGCTGCTTGAAAGTAAAAAGTAAAGTTTACTAAATCAATTTATAAAAATTGTTCAATAATCTAATTTGCCTCATGAAAAATCTAGAGGACAGAATTAAATCTGTTGGTTGATTATGTCTTGCATTTTCGAAGTTTATTCTTAAAAATGTTACTGATTGAGTAAATGCATTTTACTTAGTTTTAACACATCAAAGTTAGCTCTTGACACAAAAAGAAAAACTGACAATTCCATCAATATAAAACTTTTCTATAAAAAACAAAAAAGGGGAAAATAATGTTATATGTTAGATTTTTTTGAAATACAATGCAGAGGATTGTACAGCAGCCAAAAGGCATCGGGCTTCCTGAACAATAGCCTCTGCCGACTCAGCCTGGTAAAAGGATACACAAACCAGACAAGAGTTTTACCAGATCTAGTAATGATGTGGGGAAGAGGTTGTGTTTTGTATCTTTCCAGAAGTAGCAGTGCAGCCAATTTGGATACCAGAGCATTACCCAGAGAAGCTCCTTGTCCCATTGTTCCAAAGACTTAGAGTTGCCCTGATGACAGAAAAGCGGAAAAAAGAAGAAAGGGAAGGCTATGCAAGGGACTGAGGTGCCAACACAGGGTCATTTGAAGAAGTTAACAACTGAGGCCCAGCAGATGGTAGAAAAGCAAGAAGTGGAAGCTACTCTCTCAGCCAAGTCCGAGGACTCTGAGTAAATCAGCAAAAGAAATTTTCATTTAGCAGAAACTCACTTATTGCTGTTTTGCATTGCCATTGTTTTATTATTCTTACTAGTCTTAAAAATGTTATGTTTAAGTTTTGAAATGTTTTGGGTTTTGCATTGGCATTGTCTTGTTATTGTTTTAATAGCCAGAGTTTTGTTCTTGATGCTTAAGTTTTACTTTCATTATGGTAGCCTTTTGTTCTTGATGTTTAAGTTTTCAGATGTGCAGACTTGAGCTGGAACCACCTGTCCATTGGGAGGATCACATGTGCCTCCTTTTTGTCTGTTCATATGTCCCAGCTTTGCCCCACATCTCCTTTCCTTTTTCTTTTTTTAATCTGACTACT